AAATTTTTCCAGCAAAACATTCTTTGCCAATTCACATATTTTTTCTTTTTTTTTAAAAAAATCATTTCACCCCAATCAAAAGAGAAGACTGAGTATAGGAATTATTGAGGAAAAGACAAAAGAAGAATGGGGTTCAAGAAGACAGAAGATGGCGAATGATGTTGCATTTAAATTTTTGAAGATTGTAGTTATTAGGGAAGTAGGTAAACAGAAACAGGTGGGAAGTGCGAGAAAAGAAACTGTTGGGTTAGAAGTGGCAGTTGCATTTAGCTATTCCAACAGTAAAAGGGTGGGATCTAGATGCCAATCTAGTAGCATGCTTAGTCATGTATTTGGAGCACCAAATAAAAAAGCTTGTCAGTGCAGTTGCCATGAAAATATTTGTAGAAAAGACAGAGATAAGCTACATCACATCAGTGAGAAAGTGACCGAAGTCAAGATGCCTGGTCAAAATACATTACATTACAGATTCTTAACACTTCTTTTTAGATCACAGAGATTGAACATTGTCCTGAATGTTCTTGGAATTGATAGTGGAGTGGTTTCCTATTGTTTTCTCCACAGTGACTTTATTGAGACACCACCACTAGTTAGCAGACCGTTGACTCATAAAGAGTTCTTCCACCCTTTTATAGATTATTTTTTTATCCTACAGGGTGTAGTTAGCATCATAAAGAGACAGTTGAAATTTTTAAGACACATAATGAGGAAAGATGATTTAGAAAATTTGGCACTCACTGGATATAATGAAGGCAAGAGGGTGGCAATGGAAAGCAGCAAATAACCTACTTAATAAGCTTGTGTAAAATGGTTGGTAGAACAGGGATTAGGAGAGATAGTAAAAAGATAGAACTTACTAAGAGCTACAAAAGACAGAAAGTTGTGGAGAGCCAGATTGCCCACGCCCTGAAGGGACACAGCATATAGAAGATGACGACTCCTATTATTATTAATATTATTATTATATTTGACCTCTTATTTGTTTAAGAAATCTTTCTTGTTACAGATGTAATTATTAGAGAGTATAAAAGTTCTGATGTATTTGTTTAATAAATCCTGTCCGTGATATCATGTTAGCTAAAAAGCTAATGGTAATGGGAATTTCTTTGCAGCTGAGAAGTGACAGAAGTTGAAGATCTTTGAAAAACTGCTGAAATAATCAAAGATTTGGATTTGGCAGGAACTGAATATAGAGAATCTGATCAGGTAGAAAAAGTGACAAAAATTGAATTGGGGGAGGGGCAAAAAAAATCTGCAATACCAAAATCTGAAGGTCATGTTTGAGAAGCTTTCAAGAAAATAATTCCTTGTTCCTGAGATAAGATTAAAAACAAACAAACAAATAAACATTGGAACTCAACAAGATTACCTAAGATCAAAAAAGATAGAAACCTCTGATGTTTACATGTGGAACTGAAATCAAAATTATGTTGATAAATTATTCATCATCTCATGGACTGAACTTTTTTATAATAACCATTTGTTTCTGGAAGCAGTGATATTCTGTGTAGAATCTATAGAAAATTTATGTCAAATAATGTTAAATATAAATACATTATAAAGGATCTCACTATAGAAATTCACTATAAATTGTTTTACTATGAAAATAAATTGAAAATCAAGAGATGATTGTCACAAATTAAAGCAAGTATTACTAAAAGAATTACACCATTATCTGTATAATGATGACAGTAATAAAACAATTTAAAATAAATTTCAGCAACAGAGGGTCACATACTGATTTTTTTTAATGCCATTTTCTTTCACAATCATGTCTCTTCACAATTTTTTTTTTTTACTATCTGAGACTTGCCATACATTCTTGGGAAAGATAACAGTGGTTCACTGTTTCATTCTCTACAGTTTATAATTTAGAGTTATTCTTCTCTTAAATTTTCACTCAAGTCTAGACAACCCAGTCTACATTGCTATTTATTCCTGAGCTGTGAGAAGAAGAGATGGATTCATGCTTTTCTTAAGAGCATTAATGCAAAAGTCAATGCAACAGATAATGTAACATTGCAACAAACAAGAATCCTAACTAACAATTTATAATCCAGAAAACAATTGCTGAAAACCATAAATTGAAACCCAAACATGGTAATAAAAAAAACGAGATAGAAAGTATGGTAAACAATGGATTGAAATTTAGAAAACCTAAAAATATGATCTTTACTAAAATGGCTGAAAAGTAATAGAAAAACAGAAATGATAGGGTAGGATCAGTTATACACTGGAAACTATGTAATGGTCTTCATTTTAATCCTGTAAACTGTAGGCCAAAACAGAAATGACCATATGTCAAGTCTATTCAGACAATGGTAGATCTGAAGTCTGCAAGGATACTGAGGAATGTGTTGCAGATTTGAAGAGACTTGCTGTCAGCTCCATCACTAGAGATAACTGCCCGTTATTTGGTGTGAACTATCAAATATATAAAATGTCATAATGATGTGTTCTGTCAGGATACTGAGGAAGGTGCTGCAGGCAGATTTGAAAAGACTCAAAGATAATCTACTGCAATATTCATAAGATATCAAGTGTGAAAATGCATAAAAAGTAATATTAAATATTATATCATTGTCATTAAGATTACAGTCGAATTCGCCATAGTAAATGATGCTGAGTAAATCACTACAGGACAAATGAGAAGTTTACTCTCTTCGCTTAACAAATAGAAGTAGAAATTCTAAGACAACTTTGAAGATTGTATAGCATCACCATTTCCCCCAAAGCACAGTTTCTGGTTTTTGCTCCTCTATTGGAATAAAAAAATAATAATATCCTAGTCATCGTATTTGTAGTGGTCATGTTTTTGAACAAATACATTTTGTTTTTTGCATGTAGGAAAATTTCTCCTGTAATTATTCATCAATCTACTAAATCATTTCTAGACAGGTGTCTTTTTCAATGAAAATATAGTTCTAACTTCATGTTGGTAAACACAGATATATGACACATTTAATTACTTAACATTCAGTAATGAAATATTGAAAAGAGTTAAGTGCTTATATATAATTTATTTGTTTAAATGCTATTTTTTAAATGGATACTCATATTTGAGTAGATGCTCTGTTTTTATTTATTTATTAAACAATATATTTATTTATTTACATATACCAGCCTGAATATTTTGAGAAATCCTGTTAGAAAAATATACATAAGTATACTGTTTAATAAATAAAAACAGATCTTCTACTCAATTATGAGTATCCATTTAAAAAAAAATGTTTAAACAAATAAATTGAAAGTCTTTTTGATTTAATCCATTTCCTAAATATGTGTGTGTGTGTGTGTGTTTGAGCAGCAATCCCTCGTTTATACAAGTTTTAATGAATGTGTGTCATATATATATATATATATATATATATATATATATATATATATATATATATATATAAATAAATGGTTACTAGTTTTCTAGTCTGCTAGGTCAACTAGTAAATCTGTTGCAGATGCCTGCTCTGGCGCACATAATTTTCAGCAGCCACCTATAGCTTATACTGCAACTATACTTGACAGACATTAATTACAGTTACTGGGAGAGTGCATTATTTGGCATGATCAACAACTTGAACAAGGCCAGTGCACTCAAACCCTCAGTCATAATGACTTTCAATTTTGTGCTCTCTTTATGTGCATATATATATATATACATACACACACACACACATACATACATACATACATACACACACTCATTGCACCTTCTTGGGCTAACATTTTCTGCTGGCATGTAATAAAAAGACTATATCGAATCCATTGCTACATCTGCTGCAAGGAAAGTCTACTGTGTTGTGCCAGACAATTATCTTTTCAGAATCTATTTTACATATTTATAAGTCTACCATTCATCCTTGCTTTGAATGTGCCACATCTAGTTTGGTTCTTCTATGTATTTAGAGATTCTTGATAAAATCCAAAGGAGAATCTACAATGTTATTGGTCCTGACCTGGCATCTTGGCTTCAGTTACTTTCCCACCACCATAAATGTAGCTTCCCTGTGACTTTTCTATAAATACTTTCAGGGTAATTGATCTGATGAACTTTCCTCTTTATGAATTTAAGCACAGTACTAGATTTGTGGCAATGTCTTATCATTTTACATTTGAAATGGCAGCTAGATTTAACCGTAAGTTCTATGCTAACATTTTCTTCTCTCACACTTCTCACTTGTGGCACTCTCTTCCTGCTTCTTGCTTCCCAGTCAACTTTGATCTTCAAAAATTTGCATGAGGTGAAATGATTAAAAAAAAACAAAAAACAAAAAAAAAAACAAACACTATTTAGGATTTTTTGATAATGTCACTCCAACTGCCTTTATTTCTATTGATTATAACCATGTGAAATGTTCATCTATTGTCTAAGAGAATATAAGCTTTCATTATTTAGTATAGAAGAGTAAGTATACTGTGGGAGAGTGTAGATTTGAACCATGTGTTTATCATTTCGAAATAAGCTCTTAGACATTTCAGATAAGTAGTGACCATAATTTACAACTTTTAGCCTGCAGGGAAATTTTGCAAGAATTGGGATCAGTCCATAACAAGAGCAAAGTATTTTCCCTCTTCATTGTGAAGTTCTTTTCTCTTTTTCTTTCATCATGTGTACTGTGTATTAATTGCAACACCCCGCTCTAACAATTTTCTTGTTTATCATTCTTACACATTATTGACTTGGTTACAATTGTCAGTTATGCAGAAAGACTAAGAGGAGAATCTTTGAAGATTATTTTGTTAGCAGCTAAAGATAAGGGAAAAGAAAAAGGTTGGTAGGTAAAAGGTAGGTTATAAGAGATTAGTTTCTATACCTATGTTGACATCTACTTGTACTCCGTACAAGGTTATTTAGCTCATTGTTACTATTTGCACTATATGGATATCATGGATTTTATAAGAGTAGTAGCTGGAAAGATGGAAAAGAAATAATGAATCTCTATTGACAGAAAATAGCATTTTGAATTTGGAAAAATGTTTATGCAATTATGTTTTTTTTGGCTTACAATCATATCATGTTGAAAACACCAGTTCTTGTACAATCACTGAAGTTAAGCAATGTCGTGCTTGGTCAGTACCTAGATGAGTGACCACTTGAGAATACCAGATGCTGCAAGTTTGGCTATGTGGGTGGTGTATTGGATAATGGCTCGGAATTGGAAATTGGAGAGCACTGTTCCATTTCCAGTCAGATTTGTTATAGTCACTTGGGAAAGGTATGAATTCACTTCTTCTCTCCGCAGTTATGGGTTAATTAGTAGAACTTATAGCAGTAAATAATTATCTCCAAAAATATTTTCTTGCTTCAGATAAAAGGTTGATAACCATCAGTTGAAATTCATAAAATGTTTTTATTAAAAGTATTTTATGAATTTCAACTGACACTAATGCTAACTGTACATGAGGCCCTATAGACTGCTACAAAATGGCTTCAATGGATCCTTTAGGTTTGAAAGAAGACAACCCTCCATCAGACACTATAGACTGGTGTTACAAAATCACAAATAGCAAAAACCACATCAATTGAAGACTTTCAACAGCCGTAACAATAAAAATGGATAGCACATGGACTAGAAGCGAAAATAATGACAAAGGTGTTGACTTTCCACACTAACAAAAACAAAAAGTTTGGAAGGAAACTTCCATTACTATTAGAAAGAGCTATAACATTTAGTGAATTTAGTCTAATTACTTGAAATAATTTTAATAAAAAGATTTGATACATTTCAATTAACACTAATGATACTAACTATTCAGCCAATGAATGCCAAATGTTTCTTGCATGGTGATGGTGATATAAGTAGTTTCCTCAAGAAAAATCTGACATTCATTAACTGAGCAGCCATTTCATTGGTTGAAAGTTGTAAAGTTTCATGTAATAATTGGGAACAACACGCTGTCTCCTGAAATACACACAACAAAATGGTGGACTCAGGATGTGAGTCCATGTAAAAAAAAATGCAAAGAAACTACAAGAACCGATATATATGTACAAAAAAATGATAATGTATTAATAACAAAGTATACAAGTGACAAAGATGTGTGTGTCACATGAATGTGAAAACCGTTTATGTTTGAATGTGTGGTAAGTGAATGTGCATTTGTATGTATTGTTCATGCATTTTCCAAACGGAATGCATTCTCCATGAGTGGATACATGTATAAGTGGATAAGGTAAGAAGAGAGCAAGAAAAAATATCACCAAGCATTTATAGTCCAGAGAGCATCCCCTAGTAGTAGTTTTGAAAATTAGGAGAGGTTAACCCTTGCATTTGCTTTGCTTTGTGGAATGGTGCAGCATCCTGCATAAATGTGCTGCAACCATATATATGTATGTGAATCTCTAGTTCATCCTGCAACAGTTCCAGATCCCTTTGACCTTTCCTGGTTGTTCCAGGGTCCAAGAAATATAAACAACTTGTTTCAAACTCATTCGGCTGGGAGAATGTTTCATAGACTGTATCATATTTTTCATCATGTCTCTTTTCTGGAAGCCTTCTGACATAATTCTAATGAACAACAAACCACTGCAATGGGTATTCACCAGAGAACATAATGTTTTTGCATTGTCCAATGTTCAGACTTTGTGATGAATACCAACATTACTTTTTCATTTCAACAGTCAATCTTGATTTTCAGGTGGGTTTGCAGGATTTTAGTTTAAATTCATTGACTAATCCTTGATAAATAGACCTACAATTCATATCTGTACCCCTGAGAAGCAGAGCAGCTCAAATTCTTTTTGCATAGACTTGGAGATCGTAAAATGATAATCCCTATATTGATGATATGATAATCTGTAGTAGTTGTTTTTTCTGGGATGTCTATTTTTTTCTTTTGGTCAGAATAAGAGTCATCCACTTGGTCAATAACATTGCAAATTGCAGTCTTGCTACAACCCATTTGGACTGAGATTTCACACTCTGAGTAGTCATCTCTGTGTAACATTACTCTTTGGACTCTGAATGTCAGAAAGTGACAATTTCTTGCCTATTTTTAATGTATAAAAAGTTACTGAAAACTATATTTTAGAAATTGACAGCTTTCAAACAAGCCAAAATTTTTGTGTTACAGTGTTTCAAATTTGAGGATGATGTAATATTGCTTAAAATTGCAGTTTGTTTATATTAACTGAAAGTAGATTATGCAATATACTGCAATAATAGAGAAATAGTAATTTTGGCCAGGAGGACCACAACCGCATCAATTAATGCTGTTGCAGTTTCAGTAGCAAATAAATTTTTATTGAGGCCAGGTTAATAGCACAATGTCCAAAATGGACTGCCTTCAGGGTAAAAGAATACTATGTACCCTACTATCTATTAATAGCTATGGGGGAGAAGTGGATTCATGCCTTTCCCAAGGATATTAATTCACATTAAACACAAAATGTCCCAGCCAGAGTTTAAACCCTGTTTGCTGTCCATTAGATGATATGAAGCTCTAGTAAGTAAAGAGTCATATTAAAATAAAACAAAAAAGAAAAATAAACAAAAATCAAGCGACATATAATTGTAAATTAGCTTTTACAAAAAATACTTCTTTTATCTGCTGTACCTTGTCACGACAGGTATGATTATACATCTCCACAACTTTCTATCCTTTGTAGCTCTTTGCAATATTTGTTCTTTTACTATCCCTCCTCCTCACTGTTCTGTCATCCATTTGTACAAGCTCATTAGGTAGGATACTTGCTGCTTTCCTCCATCCTTTTTTTGTCTTTGATATGTCCTGTGAGCATCAAATTTTCCAAGACTTCTTTTCTCATTATGTGTCACCTATTTCTGATCTCATCTGTAATTGGCCTTTTTTCCCCCATTTCCCCTAAAACTTGTTGCTTATATGCGCCATCCAGGGTATTCTCAATATACTTCTGTAGAACCATATCTCTATTGCTTCAAGTCACTTCTACATCTATGAGGAAACTGTCCAGCATTCACTGCCATATAGGAAGACTGACATTACATAGCAGATCAGCACTCTTTTCTTTGTTTCTTAATACTTTGTTTAGTTCTTGAAAGGCATTTTTCACTATTCCAATGTGTCTTTGGATTTTTGTGTTACAATTTTCATCATCTGTTGAACCACTTCCCAGATATTTAAACTTCTGAACTTGTTTGATTTTGACATTTGCAATGCTTGGGATTTTTCCTTTTGATAACAACCATCTGTCTTCTTACAATTGATAGTCCTTTCTTCCAGCTTTCCTTTACTAGTTTGACTAGGAAATCCTGTAGTTTTCATTCTGTGCTTACCATCATGGCATCATCTGTGTATCTTATGTTGTTAAGATTGTGTTCACTGAAAATAAATCCTGGTAGGAAATCTAGTTCTCTTTGGATTGCCTTGCTGTAAATATTGAATGTTACATTTGCAAAAGTATTTCACACCAGAAGCGACAAAATGGTGACAACTTTCTTGTTTTATTGTCATCAATTTCAAGAGTTGGGGATGTGGCAACTACTGACTGATATTTGCAAATTTTAAGTGAGATATTCATCTGTAGAACATGATCCTTTTGGGAAACACCAGTTGAAACAGTTACAAGTTGCCAGATGTTAATCAGTTCTTGTAGGGACAGCTATTAAAATTACTCAATAAAATAATTATAAAAATACAAATAACTGAGCTTAAATTAAAAAATAAAGGCTTGTGAAGATGTCAATTACTATCTTTTAAGAGCCGTTTATTGCAAGGTGGTGGCAAGAAAAGCTTTTTGATCACATGCTTTCAACCACAAATTAAGCCTTTGGAAGCTGTAAACAAAAATCGTTCAATTCCTCAACTTAGACTTGAATGAAATGTAATCGGGATAATGAGAATTTGATTTAAACATTTAGCTGCCACATTTGATGAGCTTAATGAGAATTTAGCAAGATACTGACAAGGATAAAGTATTGAGTAATTAGAAACACACATTTGCTTTACTCAGTAAAACTAAAATAATTTTTAATATGCATTGATACAAATAAAGTTAAAACTAAATGTTCTTGATATGATTAAAAAAAAAACAAAAACAAAACTATTTGGCTAACCCAAGATGAAATAATTCCTTTCTAACTCATTTTAGTAATCAATGAATCTTTTTGTGTTTTGGCATTTAAATTGAATTTTTACCTTTCTTAAAATAAAGAAAAGCATAAAATGGATATTATTGTCTTCCATTTCCAATGTTAGAATCAATAAATTAAAATAAATGAATTTTGGCACATTTAATAAACAACACATACTGATCTGATGGCTACCACAATCTAAACAAAAGCTATCATTTTGAGTGAAGTTAGTTAAAACTAAATGTGTCAAATGCCATCTTTTTTTTTCTTTTTTAAAATACAATTGTTTACAAACAATGTGTAGGAATGATAAACAGGAAAGTTGTTAGATTTTGTTAGAAACAAAGAAAAGAGTGCTGGATTACTATGTGATATCCACTCCAATTTATAACTCACATCTTGGGCTTTTGCTGATGACCATACTTTTTGTCTTCTTGTAGTTACTAATTAGTCATTGAATCACATACATTTGAACCACAGAATTGTTTTCTTGGCTCTCTGTCCCATAAAATCAAAGTTCAAAATCATTTTTCTATAGATGCTTAAGTTATTGCCATATAAGATAGTAATCATATTTATAGAAGCTATGATAACAGTGGGGCTCAAGCTCACCACAGATCTCAAGTGGAACTCATATATCCAATCCATTACTAAAGATGCTGGAAAAATGGTTGGTTCCTTTTACCAGTCCAGAAAGTACTGAACTTCTTCTGCCATGCTTTATCTTTACAATAGTCACATCAGACCAAAAATGGAGTATTGCTGCCCTGTTTGGACAAGAGCTAACCAACCCTCATAGTCCAGTCATGGTAAAGTTCAAAAGCATCTATGCAGCCTTGTGAATGACTAATTATTTTCCACCCTACAACCCCTTTCCACATAGACAAAATGTCATAATTTTTCACTGCTCTATGGCAAATGTTATGATAAACTAAATTCATTGGTCCCACCAGTTCAAACCTACACAGCTAAAACCTGTCATTCCACATACACTGGGATGAATCATCCACATTCCCTTCATTCATATTCCACGAGTAAGAAAGATTCATTTGGACAGCTTCTTC